CAACATAGTACCGGACCACTGTGTCCTTTATAAGTAACGATTAATTCTTGTGTTTCTATATTCCACACCTGAAAACCAATAATTCTTATATGTAAATACCACTAAATATATAATATTTATAATGCTGCTATATATTTATATAATTTAATACCTGTGCAGTTCCATCATAGCTACCGGATATTAAATGTCCACTAATATATGGACTCCATGCTAAACAAACAACACTGTGAACATGTCCAGTTAGAGTTGCTACAATTGTATGACCTATAGAATTATCGTATCCTGTCTTCAAACTGTTTTCGTCAATCGAATCGTTTAATGTAGATATAAAAGAATGTAAATCGTAAATCACTACAGTAGGTGATTTTGTAGCAACAGCTAAATAATCTTTGAATGGAGAGAATGTCAAATCTGTTGCTGTGCTCTCAGGATGCCATACCAAGCAGTGTACCATGTTTGAAGCTAACCTTGCAGATCCCAATGGTTGCAATTTTCGATTAAGAAATAGAACTATACTGAGAAATAAAAGTATTTTTATTTTCAAGGAAATCATATAGCATATTTGAAAACATACCCATTTTCACATCCTACTGCCAAACATGAAAAATCTGGTTTCCAGGAAAATTCTGTACATCCACTTTTGCATACAGTGTTAGGTACTAGTAAAAAGAAATTAGTTATGTATTAATTAAAAAATGCAAAACACTACATATTGATATATACTCACTTGATTCTACTGAATCATAATATACAAGCTCCTCTTCTCCACAAGAGTATACAACATGTTTGTTATCTGGATTTGGTCCCCAACCAATAGTATATACTGTATTTCTATGATATTGTCTATATAAAGTGGGTGGTTTATTACCATTTGTATTAAATACACCAACTCTACCTTCTTCAGTTGCATATGCTAACAAATTTTCTTTTTCGGGATGCCATGATATCTATATAATTATGTTATTATATTAAACGATTAATTTTAATGATCTCAAAAATAATTTAAAAAATATTAATTTACATTTATTTTTTTTTTTAGTTTCTTTTTG